GGGCCCGAGCAGCGCCCGCAGACCACCGACGGCGCCTTGCAGAGCGCACCAACGTGTCCGTAGCGTTGACACCTGTGGCATCTTCGCACATCTACGCTAGGGCTCACCCGACACCGCGACAGCCCAACGAACACTACCGTGCCCACAAGCGCGCCAGCGACCTCCGGAGTTACCTCGAACTCGACATCACGTCCCCTTCTCGTCACCCTCGCTCTCCGCGGAATGAGGGAAACGCTCCGGTTCCACCCCGCCGGCAGATTCACAGAATCTTCATTCTGCTCCTCCAACAGCGCGGCTACCCCGTCATCGTCGACCTCGATCCCGACCCCGTGTACTTTTATACGAGGATTTCTCTCACCCGCTGGACGCAAATCCAACGAAGTGTTTTGGAGAAGTTTCCTCGTCTCCTCATTCTCCGGCTCCAAATATAACTTGTCCCTTCCTACTTTCTTCAGCCTCTTGAATTTCGGCGAACATTTCTTTTTCGCCAGTTCATCCCAAAGAGCCTTCACCAGTTCTGCCTCGGTCGCCTCAGGGGCAACTTTCGGCTTTCCAGTTTCGGCCACTTCGGTCTTTCTGGCTACTCTGAGAACATAGCCACCGAATTTTTTGACCCTCGCTTTCTGAGTCTCTTCCAGGAGGATTTTCACCTCTCTGGGGACTACTCTTTTCTCTCTTTGCTTTTTACCTCTCTTCACTGTCGTCCATTCCGTCGCCTGTTGAACCTTCGTCGGCACTTGCTTCGGGGGTCCTACCGGGGCTTCCACCCGTTTTTTCCCTTTAGCAATTGTCTCCTTCTTAGGTTTTGGCGGGATCTTCTCCAGTACCTTCGGCTGTGCTTCCACTGCCTTAGTGACCTTCGATTTTCCCGCTTTTCCCTTAGAGGTCGACGCCTCTGGTACCAACTTGGGTTCAGGAGGTGGACCCACCTTCTCCTTTTTCTTCTTCTTACTCTTCTTCGACTTCTTTTCTGGCTCTATTCCACTGTTCTCTACCATCACTTCCCCGGCGGCGATGAGCTCTTCAATGATGCGATCGGCTTTCCGTTCAAGCAGGTACTCATCACTCGGCGTTTCCACCGGTGTGACTTCCCCACACTCTTTCGTCAAGTCGACCACAATCCTATTGGAGCTCGTCTGGGAGGTCCGTTGGTGACTGGCCTCTAGTAGGCGCCCCTGCATCATAATTTGCGCATAGACTAACTCGTCTATCACGTTCATGAGACCGGATCTCGCTTTCTTGAAGGCTTCTTCCCGGACCTTCGTCATCGACGCCTTCTCAAGTTTCATCGCCATGATTAGCCTGAGAAGTTCATCCGACAAGTCTCTCCCACGGCGACTCAAGGTGCAGGTGTAATCCCGCAACTCGACAGTATCCACAATGGATCCGACGCCATAGGAGAACTGCTCCAAGCCCTCGCCCTCGTCGTCCTTTCGTTTCTTTGTCGGCATCCTGGGAGTTTCCTCCACGGTGTTGCCAACGAAAACGAACGGAGACTCTCCTGTCTTCATTCCTACCAACTGTCCTGTCTGTATTATTCCATATCCTTCTTTATCTACATTACCATTTAAATTATCCATATAATTCCCACGAGTAGGGGACGATCTATATAGTCCATTATGTCACTGCGCCCCTCTGACATAATAAGGAATTAATACCCCCGCCCTTCCCAGGGGGGGGGGGATCCCTATAGACACGGTATTTTAACCTCCTCCGTGCCAACCTATTCTCATAGCTAAGTACCTGAGCTTAGGAGGTGTCTGGAACATCCAATTAAGGATGCTCCTCGCCCTTATGCGTCCGCAAGGCAGATCCGATGTAGGACCCCTCAGTTATCCGTCATATTAAATGACGGGCCGAGCGCGTCTGATCCAGCTAACCAAAGCCAGACCCGCTTGTAACCCCTACTAATAGTTAAATTAACAGGGGTCACCCCCCCCTAGAGACTTTTAAGACCCTAGGCGGTTCTCTGACTTTCCGTTACTCGGACAAGCCACCCAAGGGTCATTCAAGTCCCCCGGTGTTTTTCTCTGAAAAGGTTAACGGAGTTGCAAGTTTCCAGTTCGAGTCGGAGTCAGTGTCAGCTGACGTACCGAACCTGGTTCAGCTGGTAAAGGCCACTTCCAGTTCACGAGTTTCGGAGAGCAAGCTCCCCGGAACTCCCCAAGGTCCACAAGCTAATGTGAACCCGGTCTAGCGCCCTTAAGGCCCGTCTAACCTACTGGGTAGCCGTTTTCAGAGTCCAGGTTTTTAATTCCAGACTCCGTCTCGTCATTGAAGTTTCAATGCGATCTGATCCATCGGAGGGGCCCTATTTATTATAGGAGAAAAATATCTTGGGTTGGCACTGAGTTCGGTTTCAATTCCGACCTCTCCGACCCCGAAACCGAGCGCAACGAAGGACGGCGGAGTATACAAGGCACAGCGAAACCAAGGGTCGGTCATGTCCGAGCCAAAGGTGCGTGGCCCCTTGAAGCACCACCGCAACTCACCGAGAGCATCGGACCGGGGTCCAATTTTTCCAAGTGAGCGCGTAGTGGTACAGCAAAAGGCCTAAAGAGAAAAACCCGACGACGTCGCCAATGGCGACATCGCCGGGTCAATCCCCTCTGCGCAGAGTATAAACCGCACATCCATCGCCACGCCGGAAGCGGCGACGAATGCGTACCAACCCAACCCACACGTCTGCGGGCTGAAGCTGGCACCGCGCGGCGGAGTCGCACGATATTGCACGGTGCACTGTGCTGACTTCAGTCTAAACGACAGCCGAATCGGACTTAACCCATACAGCAATTTCTGAGTAACTCGTGCAGTCGTGTACAGTATTAGGATCACAACGACGCACGGGCTCGATATGCCGTGGTAACGCCAAAAACGCACGCGAGGACAACACTTAGTTACGCGGCAGTGCGGCTACGAACTTGCCGGACGTACGGCGAAAGAGACAACAGATTCAAAAGCGGATCGCAACGACGCACGGGCTCGATATGCCGTGGTAATGCCAAAACGCACGCGAGAACAACAGTTAGGTACGCGGCAGTGCGGCTACGAAATTGCCGGACGTACGACGAGAGAGGCGACAACAGACACAAAAGCGCCGACGCCGGACACACGACAACAGGCGGCTCGAATGGACATCAGACGCAACACGGACGCCGTCGGCGTCCGTCGGTTCGCGCCGCCGGTGAAATTACGCGTACTTATCTGTCAACCGTTGTTATCGGCTGAAGCGCGGATTGGGTACATCATTATTGTTCACGGAGACGGCCCGATATACGAGTCGCGAACAGTTATAGTACTTAGTTGAAGATTTTCCAAACTCTTGGACTAGGTACCGTATACTTTGGCATCCGTTTTGTTAGGTACCTATTATACCATGTATTGGTTTTGCCCCTTAACAAATCGATTTTGCCCCGGTATCGGGGCAAAACCGATAAAATGTTAAAAATAGTTAATAGCTTATTAAAAAATAAATATAAATAATATTCACTATATTGTAATTCAATATTGTAAACAAGAAGTTACTTAATATAACTGTGCAAATAGATCAAGTTTATTTTAAGATCCTGAATAATTATGAACGTATTCGTTTTTTCAGTCGGTTTTGCCCCGTCTTCTCCTACATAGACTTACATTGTGAGTTAAGAGAGTATTATCACCTTATCTTTTCTACATAGTCTATTCTTTCTTTTTCACATACTTATTAAAATATATGAGATCTCTTTCTGACAACCCAGTCTTTTTTGAAGTTATTACCGGGTATAGGGGACTATCAGAAAATTTCTTTATGGTTTCATTTAATCCGTGGCCCGTACTATTATCTATTTGAGGTGGTGTTGATATTTGTTTAATTTTAATGTATTTATGGAAAGTTTATTCACATAGTAATTAATTTATTAAACTTAATTATTTATAGTAAATCAAGGTACATATTATTATTATTTTTTTTTTATACATGTTCTAACCATACAATTAGATAGAGGCAGCGTTACTTATGCACGTTATATACTCAGACTGATGGCAAACTATAACGGTCATTGAAAGAATAGGTCCACTGATTTTGCTATATACCACTAGAAAGCAGTGTTCAAATGTCAAAAACATTATAACAACTCATAATATTGTCAGGTATCATTACATTATTTTTTTTCAACCGACTTTGCGTTGGAAATTTTACAGTACAGTATATTAATTTTCAAACTACACTGACAAGTCTAGTCCACCTAGGATTAACATCACAACATACTGTCATAATGTCGCCTCTATCTTACTCAATGCTTACTCCCCCCCCCACGGTTAAAAACCTTATAAATAACCTTCATGCTAATAACTATAGATGTGGATGACGCCTTAACTCAATAAAAAAAATCATAGAGTTCTATAAAAACCACGAGTTAACAAGTTTTACAAATAATTTCCTACTGATATTTTAAATTCATAATAATTTATAATTAATCCTTTATTATCATAGTTTATAAATTATCCTGTAATATAGTACAATGGAGCAATAACATAATAATACTTTATTTTTCTAGATTGGTCGAGTAAGTGAATAGCATGTAGTTTTAAAATTGAATTTATGTGAAATTTCATACTTGCATATATTATGTGCTATTGTGCTTGGAACCGAAAGGTGTGAAACCACTTTTAATAGAGAATTTCAACGTTACCTACACATACTAAAACAGTGTTTCTAAAAGCTAATAGGAAACGAACATGTAAAAGTTGACGTGACAGAACTAGAGACAATCGAGTGTGACTCAAAACCAAACTCGTTGTTTATGAGTTGAAGGTGCTGTATTCACTTGCCTCTATGCGAATGTGAGAACCAACGACATCGACTAAAAATGTCTTCTAAAAACAGGTGTGGTTCATAGAAGAGATCTTGTCAAACAATAGAAAATACTAAGGAGTCACACTAGAATGATTCTGTAAAGAAACTTTTCTTACAAGCTTTTATGCAGGGTCATTATTTAGAACTAAACAGTTTTCTTGTTTATGATTAAATAGTTATTTAAATAAAAACATTTTGGTTGTAAAGAATAGTGTAACCACTCAAAGGTTCTATCCACGTAATAAAATGGGCTGGATATTTTTCAAACATAAAAAGTTATAGTTAACAAGAAAATTAGTAATAATACAGTTTGAAGTATTAAATTGCTCTTATGATTAATATATATTTTTTAATAGCATGTTTTGGTTCTCAAATATACGATATGCTTATACACGGATGACTTAAAAGTACATATTTGGCTTAATGCATACTGCATGTTATATTTTATTATACGTATAAAGGTATATATTATTGATGTTGTATCAGTTTTTTATCATGCTGTGATGCTCATTAATTATTAAAAGAATAATTCTGTCTAATAGTATGAGGTCTCTGACACAGATTATATAAAAACAGTTTGAGCACTTATATGTACATAAAAACTGGGGGGGAATGATCATCGCAAGGATCTCCTCCAAAATCAACTTATTGATACTATTGAACGTTTATCATATTATAATATTGAACTGTACTTCTGGTATTTTATTGGACCTTCGATTTAATTTTTATTGACAAATTATATGGTTAATAATTGCAACTTTATATTTTTATAATTATTTTCCAGCTGATTTGATTAGTACGAAATATTTTTACAATTTTTTATTTCATTGAACTGTATAGGTTATTTTTGGTTGAATGTTCTCTGTAAATTTACATCAGCAATATTTTGTTTCATAATTGTAAAATTCTTGATTGCAGATACTATAAAAAAATATTTTGAAATCAGGTAGATTCTTTAGAGGTTAGGAATTATAGAAGTTATAAATAGTGGGCAAGTGTGACTTTTCCGAACACTGTTTGTAGCAATAATATTATTCTTTCCTAAATTAGTTTTTCATTGCGACCTGATAACGTTTTCAGGATAGTAAATCATTCTGTAAATTTATTGAGAACTTTTCAAACAAACAATGCAATAACAAAGCAATAGCTTTGCTTCTTTATTCAAAACATATATTACAAATGTTCTATAATTATAATTATAATTTACTACTGGGTATTTTATTTCTAGCTAGAAAAAGTAAGTCATTTTTGTTTTTAATAATAATTTGATCTTATACTTTATATCAGATGAATCTTATATGTTTAATGTTTATATAGTTTAAAGCTTCAATATAATGTTATAGGATTATCCTTGAATTTGCTATCTCATTGTAAAACAATTATTATGAATGTTTTTTAATATTAATAATTAGAGTTATTATTTTGTTCCAGATAAACCATGTACGTAAACACTTTTATTTAAAAAAAGTCCAATTTATTGTTGTAGAGTTCTTATTATTCTAAAGCTTTCCATTAACGTTAATGTATAGATTTCCTGATATTTTTTTAACTATAAATTAATGTATAACTTTAAAATCTATTGTACTCATAATTTCATGTCTTCATGATATTTAAATATGGCTATTCCTAAGTATAATACCATGTAAAACGTATGTATGTAATTTGATTTTTTTTATAGTAACTGCAGCAACCTATAAATGATGTTATATTTAATTTAAGAAATACCAAAACTTTCATGCAAACGCT